AGACATTAAACAACCTCAATTAGCTCCTGCTTAGCTGCTTTGTTCTACCGCCGGACCTGAGTCTTGACACAGAGTTGAACAGTCTTCTCTTAAATTACAGTTTTATGCAAATATTCAAGAACATTTAACCTATGGATACCTCAATTAATGTAATTTTGTTGGTATCTATTTTTATTTTGAAATTTATCAGTAGTTGCTGCATTTCCCACCCTCGGCTTATACTCAAGTCACGACGTTTTCCCGTTTTTTGTGGTAAAATTGGGTGCCTTGGCTTATATTTGTGTCAGCTTATACTCGAGTATATACAGTAATTTAAATTATTCCAGCTTTCTCCAATCTGAGGAAACAATGACCACGCTAACAGTGGAAGATGGCATTTTACGCCAACACATATTGACAGCACCAGGTTGGAGAAACTTTTATTCTTTCTAGTGTGTATTACATAGCTGTTTTGTATCTTCTAATTCTTGAAACTTTAAATTCTATATAATCACTTCTCAAAGTCATAGCACTATGCAAAATACTAGCTAAGCATCTAAGCCTAGATATGTTATTGAAAGTACTTACCCTCATTTCTTTGAATTCATTCTTCTGATCGATTTCTTGAGCCTTTGGAGCCAAATGCTCCTGACAGAATTTCACCATGGTTTGCCTAAGCTGTCAGAGATACAATAAAAACTACAATTACTAATCACCTTCCTATGTATGTTATCAAAAAGCTTCTTCCTGACGTCCATGAAATCCCCATTTATAGTTCATAAAGTTACTCAGAGCCAATGGGAACTGCTGACAATCATTAAATTATTGACAAAGTATTTTCTACCTAGCACAACTCAAAGTGTATATCAATATTTTAAATTGTTTTAAATCTATTTTAACTAGCGCCTGACCAGTAGACTGAAATATTCTTATTGTTTTATTGACTGTAACTACACATTAAGTCTAACTTCACTGCTATTTTATCCTTCAGCATACCAAAAGTGTAAATGGAAAAAATCCAACCACCCTGTGGCCTAGCAGCACAACATGCCAATTGTGAATGACAGTAAATCAAGCAATTTGCCTTCACAATAATAAACAAACATTATTTCTATTCCGCCCTCTCTTCCCGAGGGTACTCAGGGTGGATTACAACAAAAAGATGACAAACATCCAATGCCAGATCCAATGCATAACTAGAAACATAAAACAACCAGTTAAATTACATCTAGCATAACAAATATTAAACATAAATCATAAATCATATAAATCATTTTAAAAAGCTTTCCCAATATAGAGATTTAAAGGCCTGAAAAAAAAATTAAAAATCAGGGTAGAGGAACTTCCCTTTCCCTTTTGGAAGGCCTTTTCTTCAGAAATATTTAATAGGGGGAGTGTTGCATATCTTAAAATAAACAAACAATAATGAATAAAATGCTTAAGATGAGGAATACACATACTTATTCCTCCAATATTGTTTCTAGAAATTAGGTAAAGAAGATTTTGTGCAAAAATATGTACAATATCAAATCTTTGTAACTGCTTCTGCTAGTTTCCTTTTCTCAGTTCTTTTTGTGGGAATGAGTAAAGTATTTTCTTTCATTTGGTAATGCTAGTGGCTTCTTGTGTGTTCTTCACAAATTGAGAAAATGGAGGTGATGTCATAGAATCATAGAGCTGGAAGAGACCATAAGGGCCATCCAGCCCAACCCCATTTTGCCATGCAGTAACATGCAATAAAAGCACTCTCAACCCATGGCCATCCAGCCTGATTCGTATAGTTCAGAAAGTTTTAGCTACATTTGTAACAAAATAAAAAAGATAAAAAGGTTGAAAACTACTTTACATTTATACTTATCATATAAATAAATTATACTTTTAGTATTTCAGACATTATAATTTTACAACAAGCCACATTAGACATATTTTATGTCACTAAAGTAATAAACAACCTAAAAGACGGCTTTACACATGGACCTCACCAGACGGTCAACACCGAAATCAGATTGACTACATCCTTTGCAGCCAAAGGTGGCGGACATCCATCCAGTCGGTGAAAACACGACCTGGGGCTGACTGTAGCTCAGATCACGAACTTCTTATTGCCCAATTTAGAATAAAACTAAAGAGATCAGGGAAAATACACAGACCAGTTAGATATGATCTCACTAACATTCCTAGCGAATATACAGTGGAAGTGAAGAACAGATTTGAAGGACTAGATTTAGTAAACAGAGTCCCAGAAGAACTATGGACAGAAGTCCGAGACATTGTTCAGGAGGTGGCAACAAAGTACGTCCCAAAGAAAAAGAAAACCAAGAAGGCAAAATGGTTGTCTGCTGAGACACTGGAAGTAGCCCAAGAAAGGAGGAAAGCAAAAGGAAACAGTGATAAGGGGAGATATGCCCAGTTAAATGCGCAATTCCAGAGGTTAGCCAGAAGAGATAAGAAACTATTTTTAAATAAGCAATGCATGGAAGTGGAAGAAGACAACAGAATAGGAAGGACAAGAGACCTCTTCCAGAAAATTAGAAACATTGGAGGTAAATTTCAGGCAAAAATTGGTATGATAAGAAACCAAGATGGCAGGGACCTAACAGAAGCTGAAGAGATCAAGAGAAGGTGGCGAGACTATACAGAAGATCTGTATAGGAAGGATAATAATATTGAGGATAGTTTTGACGGTGTGGTGAATGAATTAGAACCAGACATCCTGAGGAGTGAGGTTGATTGGGCCTTAAGAAGCATTGCTAACAACAAGGCAGCAGGAGATGACGGGATCCCAGCTGAACTGTTTAAAATCTTAAAAGATGATGCTGTCAAGGTGATGCATGCCATTTGCCAGCAAATATGGAAAACACAAGAATGGCCATCAGACTGGAAAAAATCAACTTATATCCCCATACCAAAAAAGGGAAATGCGAAAGACTGCTCAAACTTCCGTACAGTGGCCGTTATTTCTCATGCCAGTAAGGTAATGCTCAAGATCCTGCAAGGAAGACTCCAGCAATACATGGAGCGAGAGTTGCCAGATGTTCAAGCTGGGTTTAGAAAAGGCAGAGGAACGAGAGACCAAATTGCCAATATCCGCTGGATAATGGAGAAAGGCAGGGAGTTTCAGAAAAACATCTACTTCTGCTTCATTGACTATTCTAAAGCCTTTGACTGTGTGGATCATAATAAATTGTGGCAAGTTCTTAGTGGGATGGCATCCCAAGCCACCTTGTCTCTCTCCTGAGGAATCTGTACAAGGACCAAGTAGCAACAGTCAGAACTGACCACGGAACAACAGACTGGTTCAAGATTGGGAAAGGCGTACGGCAAGGCTGCATACTCTCACCCAACCTTTTTAACTTGTATGCAGAACACATCATGCGATGTGCGGGGCTTGATGAATGCAAGGCTGGGGTGAAAATTGCTGGAAGAAACATTAACATCCTCAGATATGCAGATGACACCACTCTGATGGCCGAAAGCGAGGAGGAGCTGAGGAGCCTTCTAATCAAGGTGAAAGAAGAAAGCGCAAAAGCCGGGTTGCAGCTAAACGTCAAAAAAACCAAGATTATGGCAACAAGAATGATTGACAACTGGAAAATAGAGGGAGAAACCGTGGAGGCCGTGACAGACTTTGTGTTTCTAGGTGCAAAGATTACTGCAGATGCAGACTGTGGCCAGGAAATCAGAAGACGCTTACTTCTTGGGAGGAGAGCAATGTCCAGTCTCGATAAAATAGTAAAGAGTAGAGACATCAGACTGGCAACAAAGATCCGCCTAGTCAAAGCCATGGTATTCCCTGTAGTAACCTACGGATGTGAGAGCTGGACCTTAGGGAAGGCTGAGCGAAGAAGATCGATGCTTTTGAGCTGTGGTGTTGGAGGAAAGTTCTGACATTGCCCTTGGACTGCGAGAAGATCCAACCAGTCCATCCTCCAGGAAATAAAGCCCGACTGCTCACTGGAGGGAAAGATACTAGAGACAAAGTTGAAGTACTTTGGCCACATCATGAGGAGACAGCAAAGCCTAGAGAAGACAATTATGCTGGGGAAAGTGGAAGGCAAAAGGAAGAGGGGCCGACCAAGGGCAAGATGGATGGATGGCTCCTTGAAGTGACTGGACTGACCTTGAAGGAGCTGGGGGTGGTGACGGCCGACAGGGAGCTCTGGCGTGGGCTGGTCCATGAGGTCACGAAGAGTCGGAGACGACTGAACGAATGAACAACAACAAAGTAATAAAGTAACTTTCAATATCTAACGCGTGCTATCACATTTTTCATTTTTTTTCTAAAACAGTCTCCCCTTCTGATAATTTCTCAAAACATAGAAAACTTGGCTACCCCACATTTAATATAAAATACTAATCCATCTCCAAATGTAGGGTGCTTTCCCCAACCCTGACCTATACCTATTTTGATTTAGAATAGTTTCTGTATTTAATTGAACTCAAAATTTATCTAATTGTAAACAGCTATATGAAAACTTCTAAATGGCATGTCAGAAAATAGCTTGATCAAACAAATAACATTTACTAAGAATTCCTACTAATTTTGGTAGAATTTAACTTCCATGTTAGCATGCACAAAATTGCATCCAAAATATATGTAGAGTGTAAGCAAGATACTGTAAAGTTAAAACAATAAAAATATTGTGGAAAGAAAAATGTATGTATGTAGAGTGTTGCCATCCTAGAACCTAACTAAAATTTAGAAACATTCTTCTTGAACATGCTTTTATTTCCCTTCAATAGAATTGTAACCATTTAAAAAAACAAACAAACAGATTTTATCAAAATTTTCCTTACAGGCTTTTTTCCCCTAAGAACTGCAAAAACTGTCCTTTCTTCTTTATTTAAAGGCACCTGGTTTATGCTTAAGTGCTAGAAGAAGGGCAATGGAAATAACTTTACCATATATTCTGAAGATTGTCATCCAATTTCTAGAGTGAAAGAAGAGTCTTGTGGACTATTTTACTCAGAATACCATATTCTAAGAATATGAGGGATTACTTAAATTGTTCTGGATTATAATGTTTCAATAAATCAGTGCAGAACAAAAAAGGAGGAAGGAAGGAAGGAAGGAAGGAGGTAAGGAAGCTTTCAGTCATTTCCAAACATTTGGAGCTGAACATCATGTGATTCTAAATTATCTCTACTTTGTCCCCAAAAGGTAGGTCATATGGAAAGGCAAACTTTTATCTTGCTATCTAAAGTAACAGACTTGCAAAAAAGGCCCAGCGAACTCTCAAATCAAACCCATGGAAATGAATGGAACACAGTTTAATAATGACAAACAAAATTCTCAGCCATTTTAAAGAGACAATTCAAAGTATTACTTCTTATGGATTGAATGCCATATACTTTTTTTTTTTGGAAATGTCATAGAGAAATTATAACAATGCATCTTTATCTGTCCTACAATTATCAAAATAACCATGAATGATTATGTGTATTCTCAAACCCCTAACAATGTATAACAAACATGGCAAAAAATGAACCAAGGCAAAGAATGCTATTAACAGCCCCTATGTTGTTAAGAGCTGGAAGCCAAAAAGGAAGAAAACAGTTCACATAGGTTTGGGATTACATCAGTCTAAATAATATCCAATACCTCCTCGTACAATGTCCAATTTTACCATGACCAACTTTACTTAGTGGTGTTTTTTTTTGGGGGGGGGGGGGGACCCTGGACAATGGAAATTATAGTTCACCCACACCCAGAGTACACTGTGAGCCCCACCGATGATGAATCTCGACCAAATTTGGTACACATACCCATCATGATTTATTTATTTATTTATTTACATTATTTCTATCCCGCCCATTTCAGCCCGAAGGCGACTTTAACTAACAGTGCAGTTTAATGGCAAGGACAAATGATGAGGGGAATTGTAGTTTATTCACAATCTTGTGCACTTTCTAATCTGGGACCATTCATTACATCCAAAAACAAATAATAACTATTTCTAACAAATAGTCAAAATACCTAACCTGGACATCACCAGATACCTAAGCTAGTCTTACATAAAGGATGCTCAGTTCATTTTATACCTATGGATTGATAAGTTTTAAATATATGTGATTTATAATGAATGTCTATATAGTCTATCTACAATGGCCATTCAGAATTAGACGTCTCCTCCCATCATCATATAAAAATGTGGTAGCTCTTGGTGGTAATTCAATACTAAAGAGAAGGGAAGGACAATGAGCTTCCCATAAGAACATCTTGTTATTAAATATTATCAAGTCAGCTTTAGTAGATGGCAGTCCCATGAATGAGAGACCACCAATCCATAACAGTCCTGCTCAGGTATCGCAGATCTGAGGCTATGGCTTCTTGATTGTGTTTATCCAGCTGGAATGCAGCCTTCCCTCTTTTTCCTATTGCCTTCTATCTTACCAAGAATTACTGTATATTCAAGTGAGTCATGTGATAGCCAAGGTACAAAAGTGTCAGTTTTTCCATCATGGCTTGATTTGCTCTAGGAACCTATTTAAGTCATAATTTTTGCAGGCCACTATAGCTGAAGAACTCTTTTCCATCACTACATTTCATGCGAGTTGATTCTCTTTCTGTCAGCGTTCATCACTGTCCAGTTTTCACAACCATACAAAGAAGCTGGAAATATGATGGCATGGACAATCCGAACATTAGTCTTCATTGATACATTTTGACACAAGTCTAGTTCCCTCACAGCTGCCCTTTCTAGTCTTCTTTCGATTTCTTGACTGCAGTCTCCATTCTGATTAATGACTCAGCCAAGCTATATAAAACTTTGAACTATTTCAGTGTCTTCATTGCATGAAGTGATTCCACAGGAAAGCAATGAACAGAGGCCTACCCCCCCCCCCCCCTTTCCTTTGTTCTCTCAGCAGGGAGGGGAAAGAAACCGAGGAAAAAGGACCCCCCTAGCAAAAAAAATAAAAAAATAAAAAATAATTTAAAAAGCTTCCATCTTGCTCCAGAGATGAGCTTTGCCACTTTAGCCTCCTTTTGGAAGCAGGCAGGGGGTTTGCTACCAAGTCAAAGCAACATCATCCTGCTTGCACTGTTTGAACACTGGCAGAATTAACCTGCAGGCCTCCTTTTAGACAATGTATTTTGTAGACAGAGCAGCTATTTAGAATCATAGAGATCTCATGGGCCATGCAGTCCACCCCCCTGCCAAGAAGCAGGAAAACTGCATTCAAAGCACCCACCACGGATGGCCATCCAGCCTCTGTTTAAAAGCCTCTAAAGAAGGAGCCTCCACCACACTCTGGGGCAGAGAGTTCCACTGCTGAACAGCTCTCACACTCAGGAAGTTCTTCCTAATGTTCGGATGGAATCTCCTTTCATGCTCTTATTCCCCTACCTGTACTTCCCATCTGCATGAACTATCAGTGGGCATAAACAACCTCCTTGCTCCACCAGTAAGCAGCTGGCAGTGAGAGCATGGCTCCTGTAAGGAGCAGCTGTTGCTTCTTCTCTCACACCATCTCTCTGACTGGCATAACTGGGAAGATTTGGGTTCCAAGCAAGAATCTCTCCCCACCTCTGTTCTTTGGAAAGAGGATTCAGATGAGCAAGTGAAAAGATGGCTGGCTATCCCATCCATTACTTTTTCTTTGGTGGGGGTGGCTTGGAAAGGTACTTCTTGTACTAGTTGGATGGGAGGATTCTGAGAGTTGTAGTCCAAAAAAGCAGTTTCCCCAACATTAGGCAGGAACCCAATCTTCCTTGTTTTGTGGAAGGAACTGGGGCAAGGTGAAGCAGATTTTGGTCTATTCACACACTCTTTTTTCAGCTTGTTTCCCTCCAAATAACTGCAGTTGTGTTTGGCTCACCTTAACAAATTCTGAAGCTATGCTGAAATACTTGAAAAGATGTACTTTTGAGGAGGAGGCAAGCTGGTTTTCTGCTACTCTAAAGGCTAGTTGATTCAAATTGCAGAAAAGAGATTCTGCCTGAATATCAGAAAGAACTTCACGATGGTCAGAGATATATGCTTCCTTGGAGTTCAGTAGTCTCCTTCTCTCGAGGTTTTTGAGCAAAGGTTAGATCAGGCATGGGCAAACTTTAGCCCTCCAGGTGTTTTGGATTTCAACTCCCACAATTCCTAACTGTCGATGTAGGTGTTGAAATCCAAAACACCTGGAAGGCTGAAGTTTGCCCATGCCTGGGCTAGATGGTCATCTGTTGGTATTCTTTGATTTATATTCCTGCATGGCAGAATGGGGCTGGACTGGTTGGCCCTTGGGCATCTCTTCTCATTTCTTTGGCTGCATTTAGAAATGTAGAATGGGTGCAGTTTGATTCCACTTTAATGGCCTTGGCTGAATGCTATGGAATCATGGCAACTGTAGTTTTACAAGGTCCTTAGCCTTCTCTGCCAAAAAATGCCGATACCTATACCAAAAGACAACTCCCAGGATTCCACAGAATTGAGCCATGGCAGTTAAGAGTGGGGTCGGACTTCATTAATGTGGCAATGCAAATCAGGCATGGGCAAACTTTGGCCCTCTAGGTGTTTTGGGCTTCAACTCCCACGATTCCTATCAGCTACATAAAAACTATCAGCTACATAAAAACTCCAACCATCACCCAAGTAAAAAAAGAAGCACAATTAAAGCCCTGGCAGATTGTGCAAAAAAGAATCTGTGAACCCCACTTTCTCCAAGGTGAACTGAACCACATAAACTGGGCTCTATAGGCCAATGGACACTCCATCACAGACATCAGAAGAGCTGCAAGACTGAGAACAAGCCACGAGAGTAACGACAATGATCTACCCAGAGGAATAGTGTTCTTACCATACATTAAGGGAACTACTGACTTAGAGAAGCTGATGAAAAAACACAAACTACAAACTATCAATAAACCCACTAAGAAAATCCAACAAATGATACATTTAGCAAAGGACAACAGGGATCTTCTGCAGGAGTCTACCGTATACCAATGAGCTGTGAACAAGTCTACATAGGGACCATCAAACGCAGCACTACCCAAACACAATCCAGGAACATGAATGGTACTGCAGACTAATTCAACTGCGGGAGTCATCAATAGCAGAGCACCTGATGAACCAACCTGGACATAGCATAACTAAACAAATAGCATATTATTTGAGAACACAGAAATGCTGGACCACTCTAACAACTATTGTGTCAGGCTACACAGAGAAGCCATTGAAATCCACAAGTATGTGGACAATTTCAACAGAAAGGAGGAAACCATGGAAAGGAACAAAATCTGGCTACCAGTATTTAAATAAACCCTAAAACCAGGACAGTAAATAAAGAGCAACACTCAAACAACAGGGGAATTCCGGACAAGAAACAATGCGGGCCAGCTAATCACCTTCCAACAAAGGAATCCCCTAGGGCAGTGGTTCTCAACCTGTGGGCCCCCAGATGTTTTGGCCTTCAACTCCCAGAAATCCTAACAGCTGGTAAAGTAGCTGGGATTTCTGGGAATTGTAGGCCAAAACACCTGGGGACCCACAGGTTGAGAACCACTGCCCTAGGCAGAAAGCAACCAAGCCTTGAAGCTGCAAGGCTATTCAATGCTAATCAAGATGATCAATTGCAGCATTCACGCATGCCTAAAACAACAAGAATTCTTTCTCCCACCCTGGACATTCCACAGATATATAAACTTTACTAGTTTCCAACAAACCTCACAACCTCTGAGGATGCTTGCCATAGATGTGCAAGGCTCCTGAAAGTCAGGAGAGAATGCTTCTGGAACATGGCCATATAGCCAGGAAAACTCACAGCAAGCCAGACTATCGGTTGTTAGGAATGGTGGGAGTTGAAGTCCAAAACACCTGGAGGGCCCAAGTTCGCCCAGGCCTGATGTAGATGCACCTTGTGATTTCTGAGTGTGGTCCTGGGTGGAGCTTGACAAATGGCGCCCTCTCCAAACTACTTTGAGACCGGGTTGTTGTAGGTTTTTTCGGGCTATACGGCCATGTTCTAGAGGCATTCTCTCCTGACGTTTCGCCTGCATCTATGGCAAGCATCCTCAGAGGTAGTACTTTGAGACCCCTTGGTGAAAACTTCATCCTCAGTGCATTGGCAGTACTCCAAGGGATAAGGGGGAAGAGTTAGGGAAAGTTACTTTTTCTTTGGAACTACACCTGCCAGCCAACACAAACCGTGCTTAGGGATCTTTTTAAAGTAGCAATCCCGACTAAAAGTAACTTTTCCAAGCCACAGGCATGACGGAAAGAAGCCGCCAGGCTGGCACTGCGAGAGGAAGGCAAAAGAGGCCTTTCCCCACGGAGAAGGACTTTCCCCTCAGCGAAGCGGGCCCTCCGCCTGCGGTACCTGCTGCTGCTCCTCGTTCAGCCCGTTCACCGTGTCGTCGATGGCGACTCCGGCACATCCTCGCCGGGGTTGCCGCAGGATCGATCGAAGGGCCAACGAGGAAGCCGCTCGCCTCAGCAACATCCCAGCCGCCATCTCGGCTCCTTCTGCGAGCGCGGCGCCGACCAAACCCGGCCGCGCGCGCGCATCCGCCCCCGCCAATCAGCGCACAGGTGGGTGGGGCCCGATTGGCCAATAGGCTTCAAGAGAGGGGAGAAAGCGCCAATCATTGCGCAGACGTTGCCCAAGGGAGCCGAAGCACCGCCCACAGGTGCAAGAGGAAACAACAAAGTCCAAAGGAGTTTGGAAGTAGGTCTCCTTACTTGTGTGGAGCACCAACATCAGGTCTGGGCGAACTGGGGCCCTCCAGGTGTTTTGGACTCCAACTCCCACCATTCCTAACAGTTGACAAGATAGGAGCACTGTGACCTTAACTTATGGGAGTCAATATAAGTCTCGATTTCACCTACTTGCTCTTCAACATCTATGAAAAGCCTTGGACACACAGGTTTGCAGACTGTGGGTATTCCAGGACTTAGCATTGAACCAGGGGGCTTTGCAGTTGCCCAGAGTACTTTTTCACGTTTAAAACATGTACACAGACTTTGCCTGTTTCTTGAGACGCTGGATCTGGCCAGTGGTACATGCTTTGGTTCTATCCCCTTTGGACTACTATGTTACTAAAAGGTTAAGATTTTGGAAACTTCACTAGTTTAAAGAGCTGCAGCCAGAGCTCTAACTGGGGGCAGGCTACAAGGACCATAACACTCACCTTTTAAACAGCTCCAAAGTACAGTTTGTTTCCAGGCACAATTAAAAATGCTGGTCATGGCCTATAAATCCCTAGGCTATCTGGCAGACCGTGTCTCCCTGTATGTGCTATTGCAGCCCTGAGATCAGGAGACCTTTCTATGTCCTACCGTCTTAAACATAATGGGAGTCCCATTGTAAGAAGTGATTAAAGATCCTGCCTGTCCCCTTAAAAGAACTGAATTAAAGATTGTAGGAGTCCCGCTGAAAGAAATGACCATACATACACTCTGTTTCTCTGTATTCACTTTTATTATTACATTGAAATCTATTGTTACTCCAGCAAAATAGCTTTTCCAATATTTCAACGTGTTATTGGATTCTTAAAATTCATCCTTAGAAATTCAGAAAACTTTCCTCCAAAATTGAAACTCCTAAATTAGGCTGCACCTTAGACTCAATGGCATCTTACAATCAATAAAATATGGCATTGGTTACTAGTATAATTCCATTTAAATGTACTTCTTTGTATTTTTTCAGCAGTATTGCTCTTTGAGACTGTAAGACACCTTGAGTCCTAATTTTGAGAGGAAAGTGGAATACAAATAAATATAATAACTTTTTAGGAAGCAAATATATTTTTAATTGGAAAGGCTTGAAACATTGAAAGGCAGTGCATTGTTTTAAACTCTGTCTACTTTAAACTAAATATTCCAAGTCAGCAGCTCCTTGGATGAGAAGGATTTAGAAACAAATACTATTAATCACATGACAAAGAGAGATAGACAGTAAAATAAAATGACATAGAGACTCAGAAGTTGAATCAAAAGAGACCCTTGATCCTTGGCTTTGAACCCATTAAACAGTTTAATCAAATGTTATCTTGAAAAAGACAAAGTCTGGGTTGTTACAACAACTCAGTGATTCCGGCCATGAAAGCCTTCAACAATACAAAAACAAAGTAATTGATCATTGAAAGTGCTTTGACAAAAATGCTAAAGCAGAGCAACGCAGGAGTCCATGTTGCAGCCCTTTGTATGATTAATTCAAGAACTGGTCATCCTTATCCAAGCTGGCAAAGAGATCTTCCATTTCTTTATTGAAATGTTGCTGCTGCTCTAAGAAGTGGGCCTCCTCTTCCTCTATTTGCTTCCACTTCATTTGTGTATTCTATGTGGAAAGAAAAGTCATAGAGTAAAGTCATTGACCCTGATTTGTTCAGAGAAGGTTTATATTGCCTTCCTCTTAGGATGAAAGAGTGCTTTGCCCAAAATCACTAGCAGTTTTCCATCCTTCATCAAGATTCAAACCCTTATCTTCTGGAGTTCTACCTCAACACTCAAAGCACTACACTATGATGGCCCATTAAAGGAAATGTGTTTGCAGTTGGGAGAGGCAGCTTCTTGGGCTTCCCTAGATGGCCATGTCCCCTTCTCTACAATATCACTTAGTGGTTTCTCAACTTCTGCATGAGTCTCCCTACATCCTAGAAGCTTGAAATGCCTCTTCAGAGCTCAGTTACTGGCAATAAGAGCCTTAAGCTAAAGTATACTAGGATTGTTTGTCCCATCTTTGCCTAGAATTTTGCTAGAATTTAGAAAGTGAACTTGGTCCTCTGGGTGAAAGAAATCTTGTAACAGATAAGCAGTCATTTACAGAAGGGGATTCTCTTGTTTCTGGAAAATAGATCACTACTTCTGCCAAAGAAAATATGAACTGTATGTACACAGATAGCCTTACATCGACACTATAGGCAAAGCAAAACAAGAAGAAACAAGACCTTTACAAGATGAACGTATGTTGTACGGTGCTATCATACAGACATGCGCTTGAAGACTGAGTGATATCAGAATTTAAAGATAGGAAAAGCTAGGAGAAGAAATACAGTTCTATTCTTACCCGAAATATCTCTTTCTGCTCATTAGTCATTTGGATAAATAGTTCAAGATCACGATTGAGTTTCTCGGATAAGTCCTGAAAGGGAGGGAAACCACATGAAATCACCATATATACTCGAGTATAAGCCAACTTGAATATAAGCTGAGGCACGTAATTTACCACAAAAAACTGGGAGGAAGATTGACTTGAGTGTAAGCTGAGGGTGGGAAATGCAGCAGCTACTGGTAAATTTCTAAATAAAAACAGATACCAATTTAATTATATTAATTGAGGCATCAGTAGGTTAAATGTTTTTGAATATTTTTGAATATTTATATAAAACTGTAATTTAAGATAAGATTGTCCAACTCTGATTAAACCATTTTTCTAACCCTCTTCAATGCAGATGTGCATATGTATCCTTCCAATAATAATAAATGTAATAAAATAAGAATAATGAGTAAAATGGAAATGTAATAACAGTAATAATAGAGTAAAATAATAAATGTAATAATAACAATAAATACAAAAATAATAACTAATAGTAATAGTAATAATAACAACAACAACAGAGTAAAATAATAAATAACCTTGACTCGAGTATAAGCCGAAAAGGGCCGAAAAACTCAGCTTATATTCGAGTATATATGGTACTCTTATTTTACAAAAGAAATTTCTGTAAGAACAAACAAGTGAGATTTTAGGAAAAAGTCTTGGCATGAAACATAGTGAGGCAGCTGCCATATTGACAGTAGATACTGGGGACAGGAAGATCCAGCAAGATGATGGTGTTCATTGTGCAACTGCTAATTCAAGTTGTTTATTCAACCTGGAATGGAGCTTTTGCTCCAGGAAGCAAAAGGTCTTGGGACAAGTGTAGTATCTACTTTCTCCATCTTCTATCCAAGAGGAAGCCAATTCATCCTCACCATTATCTCCTTCTGTGTCTCCTTATACTTCTCTTCTTTTTCCAAGATGTTTTCTTCTGCAACTGAGTTTCAAATGTTGAATTAGATTTCAAACACAGAAACATTACCTTGGAACTCATGCCAATATAGAAGTACAATAAATAAAAAATCAATTTCACCTACATTCATGTCACAAGCACGATACTTTTAAAAGCCCTAATGAATCAGTTTCAGGGATTATCTGTTATATAGATATATCCCCTATTTATTCCAATAAGCCTTTTACATGAATTCCCCTTCCTCTACTTTATCCCTATAATAATCCTACCAGGTATGTCACAAAAGAGAGACTGGCTCAGTGCAGACTAAGTTCTAGATTTGACCTGCCCAACACTGTTAACCACAACAGCAAATTGGGTCTTTTTAAAGCAACGGGGAAGAATCACAGCTCAGTGGCACTTTGCATGTAGAAGCTTCAACATGTGACACTTCCAACTAAAAGACCAGAAGTGGGAACTCCAACCTTTTGCCCTTGGCTTCAAGGAGCTGCTGCCCATGAGCAGATAACCTTGGACTAGATTGGCCAAATGGAAGCTACCTTAATATCCCTGACATTAAGGTAGCTTCATATCAGGGATGAGGAACACCTTCAGAAGGTGTTGGATTTCATTTTCTATGTATGATTCCCCAGCATTGGCTATGCTGACTAAAATTTATTGGCATTGTAATCCAATATCTGGAAGGCTTACAATGGCTCCCCAAACTACTTTTCCTTTTAACTTGTGCTGAAATGCAAATTATACATTTCATATATATATATACATACATACTATGGAACAGAACAAGTGAACCTGTATTTTACTGTCAACATCGATACGGGCCCTGGGTCCACCCTCAACAGTTCCACATAGTTATGTAGGAAATTTGAAAATGAAGCATCAATAAGTATAGTGTTGAAGGTGTTTAGAGGTTCCGCACAAACAGGAGCTGTGCCCATACCGTTGTTCCAATATTGTGCATCATTTACCCACAGAACTTGTATCTCATGTTTACCCGAGTCACAATTCCTTGTTTCCAAGATCAACATGCAGCTTTCCTGAAATCTTTTCAACGCCTGGTTTTCTTTCTCCAGACTACTATATTGTTCTTTCATCTCTTTTATCTCCTTCTGCAAACAGAGAGAGCAAACAGTAGGGCATGTTAGGAGTACTTTTTTCTATTATGCCTTCAATCATTTCTAAACATATCTTGTCTAATGGAAAGGGAATTTAAAAAACACAGTAAAAGGAAAGCAGGTTCCAATTTTCATTGCAGAATCCAAAAATTCTACAATCTGGATTGTTTTATAGTCATATTTGAAACCTGTTAAACTGGCAATGCACATAGCTAACATATGAAGATGCAATATTGAAAAGTGTTTGGATACACAGACTATGTCATTACACATCCATTATCCTGTTGGGATTCCTTACAGTCTTATGAGCAGAGCTTAGAAAAGTTACATTCTGCAACAAAAACCCTGCCCAGGATATACTTTTTGGAACAGAATTCTCATGGTGGTCAAGCAATTTGGGAGTAACTTTTCCAAACTCTGGAGCAGATGAAAACAACAAGATGCCTCTTGATTCATAGGGACATCAAGCACATAATTGACAATTTTTGCACTCTTGCTTTTTCATTTACCAGATAGCAGCTATAAGGATTCAGATTATGATTGCGATGTAGGAAAATCTATGGCAAATGATCCACCATCATCCTACTGTATTTGTTTCAAAGGAAAACTTCAGATAACAGCCATGCTTAGAGAAACTGAGCAATCTACAGCACAAGTGAAAGGCTAATGGCACTCCATAATATTTTCTAAATCCATCGGATCACCTTCTACAACTGCTGTTGGTAAACTAAAAGGACCAGTCATGCGCTTACTGTTGAGCAAATGGGCTGCTTGTATCAGTATCTGTTTAGTTTAATGCAAGAGTCCAACATGACAATATAATTTTCAGTAGGACTAGAGTAGGGAATCCATCCTCCAGAAGCTGTTGGGACTGTATCTCCCACCATCCCTCATTATTAACTGTGCTGACAAGGATTAAAAGACACTTGAGAACATCTGAATGATCACATTCTGAATACATGAGAAAAGAACCAAGCTAACTAAAATATAGAACATGTCCAACAGGCGTGTTGTACAAACAATTGTTTTAATGCAGTTACCGACAAATGGCAGCTGTGGTGTGCATCTACTCCCATTTTTCCAGCTCTTGTTGCTACTACATTTGCACTTTGCATTCATAAATATCTGCTATCATTGCCTGCCACATGAAATAGTTTCACTCTAAGGATTCTCTGGTTTCTTCCCTTCACTGCCCCAATAACCTAACTGCATGCAAATAACCATGTTACTGAGCAAATTATAGCACTTAAGCTGTCAAAATAACTGTTGTAGAAGAAATATGCAAAAGGTAACATTTTGATGCAGACAGCAGGCAAAACGTATCTTAATGTACATAAATCCTGAATGATTTAAGATTACAATGCTAACAATGCTTCCTGTCCAATGATCTGTTCACTTATCTTCTGATGCAGCCATTTCTGTCTTCCAAAGTTGTTCCCAGCCTTTATGATTTCCTTTACCATAGATTCACCTATCCTCTTGTATGGTCCAATGCAACACACAGGGGGGAAAACTCTGCACAAATCTCAGTTGATTTCTGATGAGAGGTGGATTCATCTACTGCAGATGTGAGCAACTATTAGAGGCGGCACTGCCTTTCCAATACCCTACACCATATTTAATTGCTCCCAAAGGCCCCAAATATAGGCGTGTGGTGAGATAATTTGCCATATTCTTTGGGATCTTGGACATTTTAGGTCCAGGAGAGGCTTTTTATTTTACAACTGGAAGGGTCCAGAAGTTAGTTCTTCTTACCTTCTTGTTTTAGTGCATTTGGGGTGCAAATTTATTAGGAGAGAGGTCACAAAACAGTCCTGCAGAGCTATACTTTGTCCTGCTCTAGTATATTTTAAAGTCACTACACACTTCTTCTTATATGTTCAGCATTTCCCCCATATTTTGGTTATATTCAACATATTCAGAGCAGCATCTGGAGTATAAAGACTTGTTGCTCTTTTCAAGGCATGCATCAAAGTAGCAGATCTCTGAAAACAGTATGCCACACACAGCAGATGTAATATTAGGATCCATGTTTTCCTCCCTACCTGGACTGCTGACAATTTTGTATTCAGTTCATATTTAACAGACTCCAGCAGCTTGTTCTTGTTCCTGAGATCTGCCTCTCTTCTGTATCGGTTTGTGGGGCTGTTTAAGATTAAACATATCAGTGAAGCATCCTAGATGGCTCTTTTGCCTACATTCAGCATTGAGACAAAAAGCAGATCGCACCATGGCCATAAAGAGATAAATACACAGACATCATGGCACATCCTCTGGCCAAAGTTATTGTTTGTTGTCCATTTGCCTTCCTACTCAGTTTCAGGGCTCACGACAATTCCATGTTCCACTTGGAAGATACAATAGGCCTGAAATTTCAGTCCTACCCAAATAGAGGGGAAAGGTAGGTTGCGCTGCTATCACAGAAAATTTGATAACCTGGAGGTATGGGGTGGTGCAGGGCGGTGACAATGCATCTTATTACCACCATAAGTTGCCTATCCATGGTTTATTTGCTACTCTTGACATCTTAATGTACACCCACAGTAAGAATGTAATCTCCATGGACTCTGCAGAACCAATCCTACATAACAAAACATAGGGTTTACTACTTTAATGTTTGTTTTGCATAATTGGTAGTTTAAATACAGAAAATGATGCATGCACAATCTTTTGGTTTTGCAAGACAAGACTGTAATTTCATTACTTGGTTTAAATAAAATCCATTCACATCAAGGATACTGCTCTGAAGGGCAGACAATGATAGAAGGAATAAAAGAAAGCAGGCAAGAAATTCAGTTATCAGATACTCACCTGTGCACAGTTGTCGCAGTTTTTTTAGGTGGTTGTGGTACATTTTTAGATGACTTTGGGAGCCTGAACATGGGTAGAATAAAAACATATTTGTATATAATAACACTGTATAACACTGAAAAACTATTTTGTGAGGAAACTTAATGCCACCAAGCTCTTTAGGTGGAATATTTAACCATTGCAACCTGTTCACACTTGATGTTAATTATCAGCAAATGTGTAATGAATTTTTCCCATTCTTCCAAAAGAGGTATCTCTGAGGTTTTCCAATATCTGGCATATACTATTCGAGCTACCACTGTCCAAATTTTCTTTCTAGTTCTTCATCAGGCATGTTCAAAAGGTACATTTGTGGTGTCATTTTGAAATTTGTGTTTAACATCTTTTCAAGATATACAAGAATTATTTTCCAGTAGTTGTTTACTTTGTTGCAAGTACACCATGTGTGGTAAAATGTGCCTTTTTCTTTCCAACATTTGTCAGTGCAATTATACATCTTGGCTAGTCTCTCTGGAGGGAGATACCATCATAGGTGCATTTTGTAAACATTTTCTTTTAGGTTTTGACATGCAGCGTTATTTTTTCTTCTTCTATGTCTTTTCCCATTGACCTATGTTTTGAGCCCATCTAACCACTAAGTCTTTTACTACTTCTTCTTCCATGTGCCAAATCAGTAGATTTTTGCATATATATATATATATATATATATATATATATATTATACGTCCTTTCTGTTTCTGGAACATTGTCACATCAAACCATGTTTTCGCAGTCTGAAAGCCCAAGGTTCTAAGTTGTTCTTTAAATTTCTCACTCAGCTGTCTTTATAGAAGCCAACTGCATTTAAGGCCAATTTGAAAACCTCTATTTTTTTTTTGAAAGGAAGGAAAACTGAAGTCAACAGATAAGCAGTCCAAAAATTCACAACTCAAATTCTACTGTATGTTAATTTAATATCTATGGCAGGATCACCTTGCAACAACCTATCTTTAGGAAGGAAGACTAAAGTCTATAGGTCAGCAGTGCAATGGGAGAATCCTGCGAGATAAACAAGCTGTACTTCTTTTGACAAAGTATACTTACCTTTGGTTTGTGTCTTTGGAGGCAAAAGGAACAGGAACGCTTGCAGCAAAATTTAAATCAGCTTCTTTCAAAGGTTTCATCTGCGTGTCTGCAAATAAGTAACATGGTTAGGTTGTGCTAAAGAAGCAGGTTAAAGAGGAGAAGGTGGCCTGAAATGAACTGCAATAACCAAAAGGAATCAAGGAGAGTGAGCTAAGGTTTTAATTGTAACAAAAAGAACTGAGTGAAGTCTGGAAATAGTTACATGCAAGAAAAACAGCAATGCAAAAGACAGGTATTAACTAACTGAAAAAAGGGCAACAAACCTTTGAGAATACAATTTGTTTTGCTGCGTGAAAAAATGTACTGCGGGATCTTAGAGTTCTCATTCTCCATATTATGTCTTCTGGAAAAGAAGGAAATATAGTAGACTCACGGTCAACCAGCAAATAAATCTGAAGGAAAAATATTGTAAAGAAAAATTAAAATACAGGTATAATACTGGAAACCTGTGTTACTTTACACTTGTCTTTGTCTTAATTTACTTTAATTGTTGTATTTCAATATTAATATCAAGTCAATAAAGAGTGTATGAAATGGTATTGTATTGGGTATAGTAGTATTTGTTAGGCCTGTTTTGAATAGTAACTCTGATAAAGGACACCAGAGGGGAATTGGCAGAGTGGGTGAAGGTGGTAGTTGATGCCTCCTTACAGGAAGGCAAGATTCCAGCCAGCTTAAAAGTTGAAAAAACCATCACTGGACCCCACTCGACTGAACAACTTTCGGCCAGTTCCAATCTCCCCTTTTTGGGGAAAGTCTTGTAACATGCGGTGGCCTCGTAACTCCAGGTGTTCTTGGAGGAAACTGATTATCTAGCTTTAGGCCAGGTCATGGAATTGAAACAGCCTTGGTCGTCTTAGTGGATGATCTGCGTAGAAAAGTTGACAGGGGGAGTGTGTCCCTGTTGGTTCTCCTGGAACTCTTAGTGGACTTCGATACCATAGACCACGGCATCCTTCTGGGACACCTGGCTGGAATGGGCCTTGGAGATAATGTTCTACAGTGGCTCTGGTCCTTCCTGGAGGGCCGTTCCCAGAAGGTGTTGTTGGGGGAAACCTGATCGGCCCTGTAGCCTTTGTCTTGTGGGGTCCCCGCAGGATTCAATACTGTCCCCCATGTTGTTTAACATCTATATGAAGCTGCTGAGAGAGACCATTGGGAGTTTATTACTCTGGATTAACTCTATTACTCAGGATAGGAGTAACAGAGTTGTACATCATTTATTTATTTATTTATTTATTTGATGCATTTATTAACCGCCATTCTCAGCCCTTTAGGGCGACTCATGGCGGTGTACACACACATAAAGGACAATTTACAAAAAGGCAATTACAACAACATATAAACTACATAACAATTACAAAAAACTACGCTAAAAATCCGCTTCGTCTCTTAGTGGAATCATAACCAATCTCATATTCCTTGTTCCATTCCAATCATCTTTACCACATTGTTATAACACTTAATTAAATGCCTTCTCGAACAGCCATGTCTTAAGGCTTTTTCGGAAGGTCATGAGGGAGGGCGCCTGTCTGATGTCTACAGGGAGAGTGTTCCACAGCCGGGGGGCCACCACCGAGAAGGCCCTCTCTCTCGTCCCCGCCAGACGTGCCTGTGAGGCAGGCGGGATCGAGAGAAGGGCCTCCCCAGACGATCTCAAGGTCCTCGTGGGCTCGTAGGCCAAGATGCGGTCCGAAAGGTATTTTGGGCCGGAACCGTTTAGGGCTTTGTAGGCCAACACCAGCACCTTAAATTGGGCCCGGTAGCAAATCGGCAGCCAGTGGAGCTGGGACAACAAGGGCGTTGTGTGCTCCCTGTATCCCGCTCCAGTTAGTAACATGGCTGCCACGCGCTGAACCAGCTGAAGCTTCCGGGCCATCTTCAAGGGCAGCCCCACGTAGAGAGCGTTGCAGTAGTCAAGCCGGGATGTGACCAGAGCGTGTACCACCGTGGCCAAGTCAGACTTCCCGAGATACGGGCGCAGCTGGCGCACGAGCCGGAAGCTGTGCAAATGCTCCCCTGGTCACCGCTGAAACCTGGGGATCCAGGCTCAACGATGAATCCAGGGTCACACCCAAGCTGCGAACCTGCGCCTTCAAGGGGAGTGCGACCCCATCCAGCACAGGCTGTAACCCTATACCCTGTTCAGCCTTGCGACTGACCAGGAGTACCTCTGTCTTGTCTGGATTTAATTTCAGTTTGTTCGCCCTCATCCAGACCGTCACAGCGGCCAGGCACCGGTTCAGGACTTCGACAGCCTCCTTAGTAGCAGGTGGGAAGGAGTGACAGAGTTGGACGTCATCTGCGTACAGGTGACACCGCACCCCGAAACTCCGGATGATCTCACCCAGCGGCTTCATGTAGATGTTAAACAGCATGGGGGACAGTATAGAGCCCTGAGGAACCCCACAGGTCAAAGGCTGTGGTGTTGAACAGGAGTCCCCCAATAACACCTTCTGGGTGCGGCCCTCCAGAAATGACTGGAGCCACTGCAGAGCAGTGCCCCCAAGACCCATTTCCGCAAGGCGCCCCAGAAGGATACCGTGGTCGACGGTATCGAAGGCCGCTGAGAGGTCCAGGAGCACCAACAGGGACACACTCCCCCTGTCTAGCTCCCGGCGCAGATCATCCACTAAGGCGACCAAGACCGTCTCGGTACCATGTCCCGGTCTGAAACCAGACTGTGCCGGATCCAAATAATCCGTGTCTCTCAAGAATACCTGGAGTTGTGAGGCCACCACGCTTTCCATGACTTTGCCCAAAAAGGGGAGATTGGAAACAGGCCGAAAGTTGTCCAATTTAGTGGGGTCCAGTGATGGCTTCTTCAACAGCGGCTTTATAATAGCCTGTTTTAGG